GAGTAAAACTAGGACTAAACAACATGACACTAACAGTAGGTGGACATAATTTCAGGCAGCAGTGATCTCATATAAAAGTAATTTCTCTATCAATAATATTTTAATATGTTTAAGGAAAAACTGGGCTTTTTATTGTCTTTAAGCAGACAAAACAAAAGATCTTATGTTAAGATTTCCTGATCTTTGCTTCTCTACAGCAAACAGTCGCTTATTCATGGAGACTTGGGCTCAACAGACAATTTGAAGAAACAAACAAGAATTTTCAGGATGTGGTTGGTGCATTCATGAAGTTTTAAAAAGCATGACAATATCAAGTAATCCAAAGTATTCAGATTACGTTACTCACTTTAAGTAATTTAATGGATTATGTTACAAACTACATTTTGGTGTGTGTAATCTGTAATCTGTAGGGGAATACATTTTAAAAGTCACCTTCCCAACACTGCACATGGACACTATGAAACCTACTGGACCACTGAGGATTACACACATATATAAGGTCACATGGGAATCACTAGAATTTAATGTTGAAAATCACATTCTATTATCTAAATAAAGAGTATTTTTTATTATCATCGTGGTATCAGAATCAGTATTGAGTAGTCTAGTCTGTTTCTTAGTACTGAGTTTGAATTTTTTGTATTGTGACAACACTCTTTACTCCAAAAAAAACTGTAACCTACAAGTGTTTTCTTAAATCTGTCTGTTTATGTCACATTAATGTTACTTCATATTCATTTAGAAAGTTTGATTTTATAAAGTTAGCTAAAGTTAACCTGGCAAAACCCGACTGATACCATTCTGTATGTTTTGTACAGAGGTCTGATATGAGTCTGGTCACCATCATGAGCCAGGTTCAGACAGAACAGTGCAATCAGATTCAATCCAGTTAACCACGGCCATCTGAAGTCGCAGAGACGCGCTGGTGACCAAACTCACATGAAGTATTGGAGAAGTGTGTATTCTGGATCCACGCAAAGTTATCAAATGAGTAAAGCTAACATATTTGCACCTTTTATGCAGATGATTGCCAGATTTACTTGCCAATTGGAGAAAAGGATCACTGCCCCCTGACACCCCTACTCGACTGTCTATCTGATGTCAAGGCTTGGTCGGCCCAAAACTTTTTAAAACTGAAGGAAGAAAAGACAGGTGAAAAGAAAGGTCAGCAGTCCCCTCACTGATGTGGGACTCCTCAAAAATGATGTTCGTCCCACAGTCACTCACCTCGGCGTCATCTTAGACAGTGATTTTAAATTTGACAAACAGATCAACAATGTTTTAAAATCAAGTTTTTATCATTTGCGGCTTTTATCTAAAGTTAAACCTTTTTTTTTATATTTAAAACTTTTTGAACAAGTAATACAGGCTTTTATTTCATCACGCCTGGACGACTGTAACACACTTTATTCTGGCATCTCACAAAAGGCACTTTACCAACTACAGTTTGTCCAAAACTCTGCAACGTGAATTTTAAGAGGAACAAAAAGGAGAGAGCACATTACCCCGATCCTTATGTCTTTGCACTGGCTTTCTGTTCATTTTAGAATTGATTTTAAGATTTTATTGTTTGTTTTAAAGCTTTGCATGGACTGGCCCCACAGTAGGTCTCGGACCTCATCCAAATTTATACCCCTGCACGCGCTTCGAGTACCAGTTCTAGCTCTTGGTCCCTAAGACGAGATTTAAACCCAGGGGGGACAGGACCTTCTCTGTGGTCGGCCCTAAACTCTGGAACGCTTTGAATAGTCCCCACAGTGGAGAGTTTTAAGTCTCGTCTTAAGACCCACTTTAATTCTCTGGCTTTTAACACCATGTGAGTTATGTGGTCCTCTGTGTCGTTTATTTATTTTAATGTATTTTATTGGTTTTATTTATGTATTGCTATTCTATGATTTTGCTTTTATTTTACTGGTTTTATTGTTTTAAGATTAGTTTGATTAAATATGGGCGTTTTTTATTTTATCATTTTATTATTGTTGTTATTATTATGTATTTGTGCAGCACTTTGGAAACTGTTTGTGAAAAGTGCTACAGAAATAAAGTGGAATGGATTGAACATATGAGACAACAGGAATGAAAGAGGATTAAGCATTTGACACTTGTTTCTCATGATGTGAATAATCACTAAAGTATGTCCTGTCACAATTATCATAACACTAAGATATGAGATGATGATATCCCTCGATGAAGGCCCTGTACCAGATTTTTTATCATGTATTTTAGCAAAGTAGGCTGTGTCTTGCCCCACTACAGATATCTTGTATAAGTAGCTCTTCAGGTCAAAATCTGTCTGCTGTGTACTGTCTGCATCTACTTATAAAGCATTTGTATTGTCCGATTATCAGGAAGTGTGCACTAACATGGTGTGTGATGTTAGTGGCAAACCTCCACATGGTCTCACAGAGTTGAGAAAAGCACTTACAACAGGGGTGTCAAACATATGGCCCGGGGGCCAGATCTGGCCCTCCAAGACCTTTAATTTGGCCCTTGGCTGATTTTCTACTAAAATATTTTAATTATATTTTAAAACCTGAACACAGAATTAGCAATTTTTCGGACACCATTCACAGTCAAAACCTCTGATGTGCCCACAGACATGCAACTAGAAATAATAGATTTACAGTTACTACCTTTGTGAGCAGGTTTTCTCAGTAATGAACATTAATAAAACAAATCTGCGCTCAAAACTAAACACAAAACACACAAACACTTGAATGACATTCTGAGGATAACAGCTCCTCAGGACATAGAGCCTGATATTGATGCACTTGTGCAGGCTAAAAGATGCCAAGTTTAAGGAGCAAAAAGAAAGCATGACTAAATTCTATGAAATGCATACAAGTTCATGTTAAAACATTGTGTTGAAATTGCATTTTTCTTAAAGTTTCAGGTTGTTCATAATATTATAATATTTTGTTAAAGAAAGAGTTCATCAATTAAAAAAAGATTTCTGTAATAGATTTGCGTTTCTCTGCACAAATATTTGAACTTGAGTTTTCTGATCTGGCCTTTGGGATCAAAGTAGGTTGGATACGGCCCCGGACCAAAATGAGTTTGACACCCCTGACATAGAAACTCATCACAGTGAATAATTAAGATGTTCAGAATGCATACGGTAAGTTTGATAGATCTTATTTTATCTCGCAAATGAACACTATTGATGTTAGGATACTATTTCAAACTCGATTTCAATACTAAGGAATAGACTCAATAATCAGTACTGATTTTGATTCCATAATTAGGATGCTCAGACTGCATGAGGTCAGTGAGGAATAACTTTGGACCATGGCGAACTGTTTCAAATGAACCAGTTCTGTTTTTTCAGAGGGAAAGAGTCAGGTAGAGCACCTTAAAATAAAGATTTAGTATTATCATTTTAAACATTTCTTTAAAACAGCAGCATTGTTTTACAGCAGTGTTATTCCAAGTGTGGATTCTAAAATTCTTTTAATTTCATTGTTATATAATCAGATTCATAGAAGTAAAGATGATTGATGTTGACACACGACCGGCAATAACTCTCCGAGAATGCCACTGCAGCCAGCGCCTTGCCCATTGTTTAATCACTTAAATCGCTTAATCTTCAACAACTCACATTGACATTAGGGGAAGTCTTTGGCACTGACTCATGATGAGAGAGGGAGAGAAAGAGAGGGAAGAGAGAGAGAACGAGAGAGGGAGGGTGAAAGAGATAAGGAAGGAGGGAAAGCCAGGATAAGAGAGAATGACAGAGGGAGAGAGAGAGTAAGAGACACAGGGAGGGTGAGAGACAGAGAGGGAAGAAGGGAGGGAGCGAGAGGGAAGGGTGGGGCCAGGTAACTCGCCGTACAGGACTCATGACACAAGGGAGGGAGGGGCCAGCAGGAGCCGCCATGGCAACAGCGCTGTATAAAAACACAGTCCACCTGTCGCCAGTCTCAGTGTCACCTCTCGCTGTGCATACACTCACAACTATCAGACCAGCGGCCGCATCTACAACCACACCATCGACCACATCTACAATCACACCATCGACCACATCTACAACCAGACCAACAACTACATCTACAACCAGACCAGCAATCACATCTACAACCAGACCAACAGCCAGACCACTGACCACATCTAGACCATCAACCAGATATACAACTGGACCATCAACCACATCCAACAACCATATCTACAACCAGACCATCGACCACATCTACAATCAGACCAGTGACCATATCTACAACCAGGCCAACAGCCAGACCGGTGATTACATCTACAACTGGACCAACAACCATATCTACCATCAGACCAGCGACCACATCTACAAACAGACCAACGACTGTATCTACAACTAGACCACCGAGCGTATCTACAACCACACCAACAACCATATCTACAACCATATCTACAACCGGACCAGCAACCACATCTACAACCGGACCAGCAACCACATCTACAACCAGACCAACAACCATATCTACAACCGGACCAGCAACCACATCTACAACCGGACCAGCAACCACATCTACAACCAGACCAGCAACCACATCTACAACCAGACCAGCAACCACATCTACAACCGGACCAGCAACCACATCTACAACCGGACCAGCAACCACATCTACAACCAGACCAACAACCACATCTACAACCAGACCAGCAACCACATCTACAACCAGACCAACAACCACATCTACAACCAGACCAGCAACCACATCTACAACCGGACCAGCAACCACATCTACCAACCAACCACATCTACAACCAGACCAACAACCATATCTACAACTACAACCGGACCAGCAACCACATCTACAACCAGACCAGCAACCACATCTACAACCGGGCAAATAACTGGGCCAACAAACGCATCTATAACCAAGTCTACAACCAGACCAATAACCACATCTACAACTGAGCCAACAACCAGACCACCCATTGTATCTACAGCCAGGCCAACAACAAGGCCAACCTTAACGGCAACAATCAAACCAACAACCATACAAACATTCAGACCAAACGCAACAAGACCTACATTAAGGCCAGCGATCAGAACAACCGCCGTATCTACAACCGGACCAACCATAAGACCAACTGCCAGACTAACAACCAGCACCGACTCACCATGCTCAGCCTCATCAAACTACCTCCAGTCCTGTCCATCAAAGAGGTGCCCAAAGTAAGTCCTTTACTGTTCTGATGTCGCAAACAACAGATCCGTGTAAATATATGAGATCCCCAGCTGCACAGTACACCCCAAAATCATTGTTGTTGTGAGACGATGTAACATTCATCATATCAAATTAAAGGAATGCAATAAAACTATACTATAAGTATAACTAACTATAACTACATTATACTTTTAGTTGTGTTGTAATTGGGCATTTTAGTGCAAATTGACTATTTCCACTATGATACTGCATTGTATTATAGCTGTCATCATTTACAAAATCTGACTTAGAAATGCCCCCTCTTGCAGGACATTCACCATCTACTATATATTCATTATAGGACCATCAAACTTAAAAACTTAAATAAAGCTGTATTCTTATGTTAAGAGAAACCACTCCTAGCTTTTAATAGCCTTTAGTATTGTAACAGTTTTGGTCCATAAACAGTAGCATGTATTTCAGGGTTTCCATACGAGGACAAACACACTAAGGCTGCAACCAGTGATGGCTGATACCAAACAAGGGACAGTGCTTTTTCAATAAACCGTTACAGTCTACAGATGTATTAATATTCATGTTGTTATTAAGAGGGCTTTCCTTCATGTCAGTGTTTAATGTATGAATTTCTGTATCCTGTTTACCTTCTAGATTAGAATAACATACTCCATCAGACATACCGGTCTCCACAGGGCCGCGCTCTGGCAGACTAGAGGCTGATTAGATTCAAACTGATCCTTAAACTGAAGGGACTTGAGGAAAAATACAGGAAGAAGCACTGAGTCACAAACACTGATGAGACACAGTTTTCACAGTTAATTTAACAAAATAAAGATGATCAAACTTTATTCTCTAAATAATAATTACTATTATGTTATAGAATGTTTACCTCTCAATATTGTTTGTGATGTCCAAGTTTTCACAAAAATGCTCAAAGCTAGGGAAAAATATGTAAGGTTTGTAGTAAATATAATTCCACTAGGGTTTTGTGAAACCACTTGCAAAAATCACACATATTTCAGAACATTTCGAGGTCTAAACTGCTATGCGGGTAAACTGGGGTAAAAAGAACAAAAGTTGTAGTCAAAAATTTTCTCAACAGTTATCTTAGGAGAACCATTATATGAACCTATAATAATATTAAACAAAATTAAACCAAAATTACTTTGAAATTTACATTTTACATTCTAAAAAATGTATTTTTGGTGTCAAAATTGGTACTGAGTATCAAGCTATCTCTTAATATCAAAACAGAGTTTGATATTTAGTTCTGTGACACTAGTCTAAACTACACAGTTAACACTTTCAAAATCACATGGCAGATTTTATTCACTGTTAAATAATAGCAGTCTTTAAGGTTTGCTAATTACGATCATACAAATGGCTATTTTCATTTGATTGCCTTGACCTAATCATCCTCTCCTCTGCTCCTGGTTCTTCTCAGGTCTTTCAGGAGGACTCCATCATGTCTGGGTACCGGCCTCCTCGCAGCTCGGCCACAGACTGTGTCCTCAGTCTCTTCCAGATGACCAATGAGACGCTCAACATCTGGACTCACTTCCTGCCCACATGGTACCTCCCGCAGCACACTCCGCAGCACTCTCCGCAGCACACTCCGCAACACACTCCGCAACACACTCCGCAGCACACTCCGCAACACACTCCGCAGCACACTCCGCAACACACTCCGCAACACACTCCGCAACACACTCCGCACACACTCCGCAGCACACTCCGCAACACACTCCGCAACACACTCCGCACACTCCGCAGCACACTCGCAGCACACTCCGCAACACACTCCGCAGCACACTCCGCAACACACTCCGCAACACACTCCGCAAACACACTCCGCAGCACACACTCCGCACACTCCGCACACACTCCGCAACACACTCCGCAGCACACTCCGCAGCACACTCGCAGCACACTCCGCAACACACTCCAGCACACTCCGCAACACACTCCGCAGCACACTCCGCACACTCCGCAACACACACTCCGCACTCCGCAACACACTCCGCAACACACTCCGCAACACACTCCGCAGCACACTCCGCAGCACACTCCGCAGCACACTCCGCAGCACAAAAGGCAGCCAGAGAACAGTGCTAAAATCTAGTGTTTGGTTGAAATGATTTGAATTCAGTTCTGGATTTGAGAGTACTTTTCCTAGGTTTGATTTAAATGCTGTATAGAATTTCAAAGGGGTTGATGGCACAACTTCTCTTCTGTCAGTCTGTCCCAGGGCAGCTATGGCTACAGCAAACGTTTGCCAGCCCCAAGTGATGGAGTGAATGAATGATGTACTATAAAGAGTAAAAGAACAATGTAAAATTTTTTAAAAATCTGTTTAGTAAATGTATAGTGTATTGTGATGTCTGTAAACAATACTACTGGGTTGAATATAAATACAACTCATGCCTTATTATTGATGAAAAGAACTTTTATTCAAAGTCACATTACTTTGGAAAGAAAGGCAGGCAGCTTTGAGGTGGATACTATTATAGCCTACTTCACTGAATGAATGACAGAAAAGCAGCTAAACTTGAATTTGAATTGAATGATCAAGCATCTATGTGCCAAGATGTTGAATATAGTCATCCACATACTTGTGTCTTGCATAAGGCCACACCTCTCACTCACACTGACAGAGGCTGTTGTGATTTGTACATAACATCACAGTTAGAAACACATGAATCCTGCAGGGCGTGTATGTCTGGTATCATCTGTTTGTGCCCACAATTTAAACTGTCACTGATACTGTGGAGGCCTGGCACCAAAGATAAGATACAGACAGACAGATGCTGGATTCAGTGTTGTGGAGTAACAGATTACATGTACCGGAGTTACGTAATCAGAGTACAAATTATTAGTAACTGTATTCAGTTACAGTTACTATTTCAGTTAGTGGTAATTGGATTACAGTTACTTGGTTGAAATAAATGGATTACACTGTGGTATTTTCCTGTTTTTACATTTTGGGTTAAACCAGGTCTAAACCAGGTCTAAGCCAGGACTAAACCAGGACTAAACCAGGTCTAAACCAGGTCTAAACCAGGACTAAACCAGGACTAAACCAGGTCTAAACCAGGAGTAAACCAGGTCTAAACCAGGACTAAACCAGGACTAAGCCAGTTCTAAACTAAGACTAAACCATGTTGTGCGGGCCGTGTCTCCTCCTCTTTCTATCAATAATATTTTCAATTTGGTTGAGTAAAGTCTGGGCTTTTTATTTTCTTTTAGCAAACAAAACATTTTATGTTATGATTTCCGAGTCTTTGTTTCTCTACAGCAAATCAAGTAACCCAAAGTATTCAGATTACGTTACTCACTTAATTAAGTAAGTAATTTAATTTAAGTAATTTAATGGATTACGTTACAATCTACATTTTGGGGTATGCAATCTGTAATGTGTAGGGGAATACATTTTAAAAGTCACCTTCCCAACACTGGCTGGATTATACATCACATCTGTTCTATGGTCCATAAATAAAACTGGCCCAATCAGGCAGCAGATATCCATCTGATTGAAACTTACATCGTCTCAAGTTCTCGTGAGGTTTTTAGAATTATTAAAGGCTTTCTTTTACAGTGCCAGTTTACTTACTTATGATGCAACTAATGATGCAAACTAATCCTCATTAGATCTAATTTGTAGCATCTTCTGAATTAAATAGAGATCGAGAGAAATAGAGAAACAGAGATAGTGAATCAAGAAGATATGACTAGAACGGCAGAGATGAGACCACAATTCAAGCACACCGTCCAGCCCTACATTTGAAGTAATACAAAAATGACCAACGTGACCATCTTTTTTCAGAGCATCTTTTCTCTTTTAGATCAAGATAGTCTGTTAATTAAATAAATGTACATCAAATGACAGAATGAAGCCCATCGCACACCAAAACATCACCACGCGCCAACACACACTGAACTCCAAACCTTCTCCTCGTAGTAACACTATTGTGAGTGTGATGGGCTTTGTTTGGATCTATGGAACCAGCACCTGCACAAACATGTTCACTTTCCATTTCCATTACATTGATTTATATTCCCTTCCTGATCCCGACCTTAACCCGGCTTTAAGGTTAGAGTGGAAGTTGTGGAGAAAGTTGGTATTTTCACTGACGAGGTACTAGCTCTCACAAATGCTTTGGCTCCTCAAGTAGTCGCATACATATTTTTGGGCACACAGACGGACACCGAAGAAGGGAGGACCACCATCTCACAGCCAAAACATACCACTGTTACACCAGGAGAACTGTTGAACATTTCACCAAAGACATACATGCAGAACCCCAAGCAAAATATCGGTTCAGGATTGCTCAAACGATCATGAAAGAGTCAAAACACAACTATGAGTAATTGTTGCTGTGCTCCATAGTCACATGAACGATGAACCTATGTGCTCTGTCTACTGCGGTGTCAGGGGCCCAAGCTGCTCGGGGGCCGGCCGCTAATGAGTCCAACAGAACTGGAGGCGCTCACTGCAGTCGCCACAATTAAAGTGCTCAGTGACGAGGAAAAGAAGCCGGGGCTAATGAGCTGCTCACACACACACACGCACAGACAGACAGCTCCTCTCTCATTAGGGTTAACGGATGTGTCTCTAATTAAGCTGTGGCAGACAAAGTGAGTGAAAATAGGAGGTTTAAAATTTGAAGGGAAGCTGCTCCGGGCTGACTGTGGAACTGTTAGCCTGTTAGCATCTGTTCAGTCTACAAACGCCATGAAATGTTGCAAAATATACTGACAAGCCTAGATCTTACACCGGGGATGTCCAAACGTTTTTCACCGAGAGCTGCATATTGAAATGTACTTGAATGTGAGGGCCACAGGGTGAGTCGCAGATACAGTGAGTCACAGAGGATGCATTTTACACAGCTTTAATAGAGCCAATACTGATAGAAGCTTTTATTAGGATCGGAGCAGTAATTTTAGGTCTGTATCACAATGCAATGATATGCTATTGAGCTAACAGAAGTAGAATTAATTCAATTTGAAGTAAAAACATTTTGCATATGATCAGTTGGGCCAGTTCTGCAGGGGGTCTGAGGGGCTCATAGTTTGGAGAGCCCTGTGACCATGGGAAGGCCTCACACGATATGGGAATCGAACCTTCTCACTGTTTGGTAATCAGTGTCTAAAGCAGGGGTGTTCAATACGTCGATCGCGATCTACCAGTCGATCTCCAAGGTCGTGTGGGTAGATCTCCGTGTCTTGTCTCAGACTCGCGTTTGGACTCGGTCTTGTCTCTCACTCGAGGTCTGACACTCAACAAGTGTGATCATATTTCATTCCGGCCGCTGCTGTTGGTAATAAACTTGTAGCGGGTGCAGGAGCGTGTGGGGCGTCTCAGTGCAGCCTGTGCGCTCATTTGAAACCCGCGGAGACTCTACGGCGCATCACAAACACACACGCTCCCTATGCACGGCTCGTCTGCAACAGCGTGTGCCCTCGTGTACCAGCGTGCATCACAGGGCAGGTTCAACTTCCTAAACATCCTACCTGTCCATCTGCCTCACGTCAGCACGCCGCCCCTCGCCTTTTCACGCTCTCGCTCCTTCCTGCGTACAGCGAACACAAGCCCCTCCCACAGTGCGCTGATTAGAAGAGCAAGACCAAACGTGAAGCAAAAACCAGTCTAAATTTGTGTTCCAGTGTTGGCACAAAGCAGGTCTACAGCATAGAGCGGATCTACAGAACAGACCTACTGCCACATTTGGCTGAAGTTTGTCTAACAACAGCGCACAAATGCATCTGTGTTTGTCATGATGTGTGTTTGGTTTGGTAAACGTGCAGAGGCTGGTAAATATCACTGCAAAACCAGTAAAGAATGTAACTCCAGTTTGGAACTTTAAAATAACTGGTTTAAAAATCTTTCTTCACTTTTTTCACAGTTTTGTGTAAAGTGCCAGAGGAAGTTCACTTAAAGAAGAGGTTCTCAAACTGTGGGGGAGGGTCCAAAAAAGGGGCACAGAGTGTTTCAGTGCAGTTTGTTTGGCTTTGTATTAGGTAGATCATTATGACTTGTTCATTTTGTAAGTAGCTCGCATGCTGAAAAAGTGTGAGCACCCCTGATCTAAAGAGTAAGGAATTTGTTTTACTCATTGAGTGTTTTATGTACTCCAATCACAACTGAACCTGTGTCACCAGAGCCTTAACCTGCAGACACAGACACATCAAAGTTTCCAAGTCCAAGTCAGAACCTCCAGATTTCAGAGGCTGCACTAACGCTGAGTCATGACTGGTGCAGGCGCTGAGGTTTAGGTAGTGACCATTCGGATCAGATTTAGGTTTAAACCAACTGGATTTCAGCACTGAAACTGGCAACCCGAATGAGGCTCGTTTTTCTTTCTGATCGGATAATTGTCTTAAACACCAAAATATAACATAACTAAGGCTGCCAGGAAGCTAGAAATCTACACCTCCTCAAGAACAGAACTCTCCAAAGAACACTTGGACTCAGACCCCCCTCAAAAAAAGACCTTGCACTAGATTCCTTTGGCACTGTTTACCATTTGCACTAGAACCCACATAATTGTACCATCTGCTGCTTTTATTACTGCTGTTAATACTTGATCTGACTTGAAATGCACTGTACTGTACACTAGTGTTTTTACTACTGTATTTTCCACTATAGGGTACTCTGGATTATAAAGCGCACTGTCATTGAATGGTCTATTTTCAAACTTTTTTCACATACAAACTGCACATACAACAGTTAAATGGGTCAGTGGGACTTTGTTTGTGGCGTTCACGGTGACTCTGGGCTTTGTTCAGTTGTGGCGTGTAGGGAGGGTGCTGTCTGGGACCGCTCGATTGTCACTGTGTTCGCAGTGACTCAGTTGTTCAGTTGTGTCTAGAAGTGGCACATTGCGCTCGCTTTTTCGGTTCGTTCCTCGTCGGCGTGGAGTGATGAGTGTGTCTGTGGGTGTGTTTCGCTGTGCGGTCGCTGTCTGCTCCGTGTGTGTTGGCGTGCTCTGCGGGTGGTGCGGCTTTGTAGTTTACTGAGTCGTGCTGGGACACCTGAGTGGATTCGTGTATAGGTGCTCTGGATTGTGGGGCGCAGTGGTTTTGTGATGGGGTTGGAGACTTAAGAGTGCTCCCTATGATGCGGAAAATACGATAATTTTTTTATGGTTACATTAGTTAGAGATGATGTAAATGGGACATCATATCCATTGTTTTTATAATTAACAATAAATTAGTATTACAGTTGTTATCAGTAAAAGTTATATTTGATTTGGGCATGTTTATCTCATATATGGGGACACAGAAAAATCAAGTTCATGAAATGTAAAAAAAAAAAAAAAAGTAATTTTAAAGTTAATTTAAGCACGAAAGAAAAATACTACTCAAAGTACGAGTTACTGTGATTGTGAATAAGTTAGTGTCCCACAACTCCTGAAGCGAAGGAGACAAAATGACAGCTCCTCTGTAAAGTGGTGCATGTTGTGAGCTCAGATACATGTGTGTGGTCTCAGGTATTTTCTATGGAAGCTGGTGAGTGTGGTGTTCCTGTACTCGGCCTGGCAGGACTCGTACACGTGGCCGTTGGTCATGTACCTGATCTCCATCTGCCTGTACCCCCTGGCCTCCAGCTGTGCCCACACCTTCAGTTCCATGTCTCCCCGCGCCCGCCACATCTGCTTCTTCTGGGACTACGGAGCGCTCAGCTTCTACAGCCTGGGTACACACACACACACACACACACACTAAGATTACAATCAAAAACACAATCTGAATGGACGCAATGGCAAAAAATCTATTGATGATTTGTGCATGTTCTCCTCAGCAATAAAACTAAAATATCCTATATTATAAAAGTTGCTTAAGCCTATAGTTCCGACCACTACAAACATGTTCTGAAAAGCATCGGATTCTTGGATTAGTTTAAAGTTCAGATTCAGTCTTCTCTGAGATCCAAATGTTAATGGTCTTGGCCTTTGCAAATTTGTTAAAAAATATTGACTGTTTTTTCAGCTCTAACTGTAATAATGACAGCCAACTCTTTTTCAGCAGTTGGACAATGTCACTGTTCAATATTCTTCTATTGCCGCATATCCTCAAACATCATATAAGGTAGATGATTTTTCAGCCATCTCTAGTTGTCCTGTACAGGGGAACACCAGCGCATGACTGGACACACATCCACTAACGCAGATGCTTCTTACCAAAACCACATCTGATTGGCTCTATGCTGTGCTGCAGGCTCGGCCATCAGCTACTCGTTCTACGTGTTCCCGGACAAGTGGGTCAACAGCTCCTTCCACCAATACTTCATCCCCATCGCTGTGTGCAACAGCATCCTGTCCACCGGCCTGGCCTGCTACTCCAGGTACCACCACACGTCCTACAACACACTCACACTTATGAACCTGTGTTAATGTGCTCTTTTAAGGAAAATGTTGAACAGTTTAAGACACTAAATAGACTACAATGTTCACAAAAAGAGCCGTCATTTATAGTCTTATTTAAAAGGATTAAAGGTTCACTATGTAACTTTTTACAGAAGGGTTTACCAACTGATTGTTTCCATTGGGATGTTACTGGTTTGCAATGTCTGTAATGTTCCACTGTATGCCAATGAATATATCCATCTCCATGACGACAAGCAGGAGGCATCACCATCAAAGTTATAGATCAGATCTGTGGAGTCCATTCACAACAAAAACACCTGGAACTGAATAAATGTAATAATGTAATGTACGACTAAAGTGCAACTTTAAAACAGTTTCCACCCATAAATATTATACATTTACATTGTGTTTTTGTGGTGTTTAATGCTGTACTCACAAACAGGGGACAGCTCTGACAGAGTTACTGTGTCACTGTTCTGTGGGACAGTATTCAGTTATACATATAACCTCTATATAATGTATTTATCCCAGAACCAACTGTATGCACATTCTAGCATTATCTAGTAGAGCCCGACCGATATGGATTTTGTTGTTGCCGATATGATACCGATATAATGGGGGTTGGGGCTGCCGATAGCCGATATAAACGCCGATATATTTAGTGATGGATAAATTCACTGTAAGTCTTGAATTATTAAAAAAAAACCTTAGGTTTGGCTCTGGTGGTTTTTAAACTGGGTTTATTTAGGCAACATTTATTGTTATTTTGCCTCTTTACATGATATGTCATAGGACTAAAGCAGGTCTAAGGCAGGTCTAAAGCAGGACTAAACAAGAACTGAACCATACTCGGTCTCTATCTCTCTCCCTCTCTCGACCCCAAGATTAGTCCTGGTTTATTTATTTTATGCTGAATATATTAATGCACGTTTTTTCTATCCTATGCACACGCATATTTTTGAAAGTTTCGTTTTTAGCGGCTGTCAGTCTACCACGAGTCTGCACGGCGTGAAGAGAAAAAAAGTGAGAGAAAGAGAAAACACGGCTCCCAATAAGGATCAGGCTCCCGTCGTTCGCTTCAAAGAGCCGGATCTAAGAGCTGCTTCGTTCGCGACCGACTCATCACTACTAGGCTAGTTAGTAAATAAACAATCGCTATTAGCCTTTAGCTGTAAATGCTGCGTGCCGCGGTAATTAATTATATGCGCAAATTTCATCATTCACACGTCTATTCACAGCTCATTTACATATCAGTGCAGGTCCAGTATCAAATATACGGCCAATATAGTCACTTTACAATAGGCCAAAAGAAAACAGCCTGTTTATGTGTGAGAGCGACAGCAGCTATTCGCTTACCTATCAGAACGAACCAAAACTAGCTTCAAAGTCGATGTATTTCCAACACTCACCGCTCACACAGGCTCCTCCTCACATCACAAGTCTACACTAATAAATGTCCTTTTAATCCAGACTCAAACCGATTGTCCGTAAAAAGAATATAATCTCAGTGTTTGGATCTATGTCTGCGGGTGTAAACAAACACACGTGACTCTGGGGGTGTGTTCAGGGACAGTACGGACACACACACTGACAAATGACTCTGCAGATAAATACTGACGCGGAGCCACATATTAGAACATTTATCTGTCTGTAAATTGGATTAAATGAACAGAATGTAGAGAGTCTAAACTTTTTAACGAGGTATAACATGCCCACGTGAAATATCGGCCCCTATCAGCAAGCATATTTTCCAGTTGCTCATATCGGCCGATAATATCGGCCAACCGATATATCGGTCGGGCTCTATTATCTAGACCCTAACTGTGTTCTTCACTTGTGTGTTTCCTGTTCAGACTGGGCCTGCCCTTCCTTCACTATAATCAGGACTCTGTGAAGAGGTAAACACATTTTGCTGAGCTTGTTTTGCCTGTGACTGTGGCCTCTTGATTGTTTCATATGTGCAGTCTGCGTGCTCTGCCTGTGTTACGAAAACAGCTTCTGACTCTGCTGCATTCCAACTTGAAAATGTTCAAGAGAATTTAAAAATCTATTCTTCTTCAAAGTAAATAGACCACTTTCCTGGACCCACTGCCAGAGGTCACAGGTTAGCTCTAGATTCCTACATCGGAAAATGTCAACAAGTCAAAAGTAAGAAAATGAAGCTGAATAAAAGAGTGACACATTTGGGAGTGTTTGGTGGTTTCATAAGAGTGACTGAGGAGTGTCCAATGGCCTATGGCCAAAGCCGACGGTGTTCCTGTCCTGACCTGCCTGTCACCTCAGCTCACCTCCACCCACAGGACACACACAGGACACACACAGGACACACACAGGACGCACACACAGGACGCACACACAGGACACACACACAGGACGCACACACAGGACACACACACAGGACGCACACACAGGACACAGATAATGTTCTCACTGTTTTATCTTCTATGTAAACATGACTGAACAGAGAGCTACAGTAAACCTACAATAAATGGATAATTTCACTAACTGACAAAAAAGCACCAGTAATGTTTTGGTTCCTCTTGTTGACAATATAATATTTGATTTAGTTTGTCTCATTTGTATGTCTGTCCTTTGAAACTGAATGAAAATGTATTTAATGTTTTAATTTTAATTACATCAAGTTCAAATTAAACTAAAATTATACTCTTACCTCACTAGTAAATTCTAAAAATACTTTTTTACGATTTCTTGTATAGGTTACTAATATTAATATGTTGTACTTTATTTAAATTCTGTTAGGAAATCTATTTTCCATTATTTATTTCAGCCAATAATAACATGTGTTATGTGTGTGTCTTGCTCAGAATAGTCTAGAACATTATCTTTATGTAACAGTGAGCAGACATTCCCTGACCTTCTCCTTTGTTTGCAGGTTTCCGGAGAAGCCAAGTCCAAATTTAAGTAAGGCTGTGCGCGTGGTGGCGTTTGCCTATCCGTACCTGTTTGACAGCATTCCTCTGTTCTACAGGGTAAGAGACGAGCTTTTAAAACCTGCAGCACACGTAAGCATAAGTTACATAAGCATAGCTTTAATTAAGACACGAGGCCGAGCTGTCTCTCTATACTATATTAACTAAGTAGTGATATTCACCCTTAACAAATGATAGGAGATTTAAAAAAATGCTCAGAAGTATTTGTGCCACCACAATTAAAACTAGCAAATATATGGGGAACACTGCACACACATTTTTTGCTAATAAAACATCAGAGGTCTATTTATGTATGAAACTAAATACACCGCTCAGAAAATTAAAGGAACACTATAAAAACACATCAGATCTCAATGTGAAATATATATATGTTGGATATCTATGCAAATATGGAGAGGGCAATGTCTTAGGAACAAAAGAATGGCACGTCTTTTAATGAAAATAAACAACAGGTGCACTAGAGCGGCAACAATGAGACAAACCCTAAACCCTTTACATGTGGAGGTCATCTCAAGTTTCTCCCTCTTGGTCTTTTTTGACTGTTTTTTCACTAGTGCTGCTTTGGCTACAGTGATCATCACTACTAGGAGTACGAGGCCAATTTTTAACCCTACACAAGTTGCACAGATGGGCCTTTCTAGACCACAACTATGCAAGTCCTCCACTGGTGTCCTGTGCTTTTCACAGATGAGGTTCACCCTGAGATAGACGTGAAAGAGTCTGGAGAAGACAAAGAGAATGTTCTGCTGCCTCTATGGTCTGGGAAGGCAGATCCATAGAGGGACACATAGACCTCTATCAGCTAGAAAACAGCAGTCTGACTGTCATTAGGTATCAGGATGAAATCCTTGAACCCATTGTCAGACCCCACGCTGGTGCAGTAGGTCCTGGACTGGCCTGCCACATTATTATTTCACTTTGATTTTCAGAGTGTCTATTAAATGAAGCCCTCTACAGGCTGAATATTTTATTTCCATTATAAGAGGTGGTGTTCTTTTGTTTTTAAGACATTGCCTTGGCAATATTGGTTTAGATATCCAGCATATCTGATGTGTTTTCAGTGTTCCTTTCATTCAATCTTTGGGCCTATAGATTTTAAAAACTTGATATTAATAAGAATAGATATTGGTTAAGGGCCAGATGCACAAATATCAAATATTGTACTGGCTGAGAAGAATCCATGTTGGATCATACAAAATGCAGTGCCTCTATTTGAAATAACGGTTCTTCTCCACAAGTACATTGTCTCCTATGCACCTCTGCTGTCATGTCACAACTGAACATTCCCCGTACTTGAGATATAAATTTAGTTTGGACTTGCATTGCTTATTCAGATATGACTGATTTTGTATTGTGGTCTACTCTTTGAAAACACCAGATTTTGTGTATTATTTCATTCATGTTTTGTCTGATGTCATGTCTAAACAGTTACACCTAAAGTTCCTCTTACATGAGCAGTAGTTTCCAAATATCTGTTCCTCTTACTTGAGTTGGATCACTACTTTTAAACCGGAGTCATATTATTCTGAAGTAACATTACTCTTGAGTACATTTTAGGTGTTGACAGTAGTGTCACTGGTCCTATGCGTGCTGTTTGAGATGCTCTGACCTGCTCCCTGTCCTCAGGTGTTCCTGTGCACAGATGACGGCTGCACTCACAATAACACAAACCTGATACACGTTTACCACATCGGCCTGGCCTTCCTCACCGGCTTCCTGTTCTCCACACGTTTCCCAGAGCGCCTGGCCCCTGGAAGCTTCGACTACATCGGTGAGTCTGCAACATCAATCACAAAAACAAATGAACATAGCGTACATCGATAATGTTAGTAAAGACACTTGACATCACACAGGAGGTGCTCTACATGTGTCTCTATAGTGGAATGTTGCCGCCAGGTATAACGGTGACACAATGAACGCATGAGCAAACACTGCCAAAAGGTTTTAAGATAATCTGAAAACTCAATCAAAAATACAAAATGGATTTAAACACATTTTCAGGAGCTGGTGATCAGAGCGGTCCTGTTTAGATCTTTGATTTAAAAAAAAAAAAAAAGAAAAAGTGAGAGTGACTAACTGAAATCGGGTTGCTAATAACTAGTTGCGACTGTAATTATTACCTCCGCCAAGGAGGTTATGTTTTTGCCGGCATTTGTCTGTTTGTCTGTTTGTTTGTTTGTCTGTTTGTCTGTTAGCAACATAACTCAAGAAGTTATGGACCGATTTTGATGAAATTTTCAGGATTTGTTGGAAATGTGAAAAGGAAGAACTGATTTCATTTTGGGGGTGATCCAGAAGAAATCCTGGATTCTGGATCACTTTGAAATTTTAGTTAACATTGTGGTAAATGGGGCCAAAAATTTAGTTTCTCAATATCTCGGTTAAAGGTTGTATGGAGGATTTTTTTTTGTTTCAAATTGTCAGTGATAGATTATAGAGGTGCAGTAGCCTTGTAATTATGATGACCAAAAAAAAGAGAATAAAAATTCATCAACTCTGGACGTGGTGGGGCTAAACATTTGCCAATACATAACGACACTGCCTCGTTATCTGTTAGCTGACAGGCTGTCAATCAATCTCCCTACGTTTCTAGTGTAACTGACTTGCCTGCGCCGCCGGTACGTGGTTTACGTACACCTGTCACGCAGTCCACAGACGCAAGACGCACAGACGCTGTTTACTCCACCAACGCAACAGTTCTTAGCGGCTTTTTTTGACCTATATCTTCCTCGCAGTTCGCACAAAGTTTGTTGCAATGGCGACAAGAATCCAGGAGCAGTTCGCCGCAAAAGAAAGTCCGTTTTTGAGGTCGCTGAAAGAAGAAGACAAGGGGAAAAGCAGCGAAGCCAAACTAAGGTGATTCTTGAAGATTCATTCCAGCGATGGCGCAACTGAAGCAGACGCAGGGTCTAAAGACTGACGCACTGGTCCACAAATTACTCCTGGACAGGAAACTTCAGCTTATTATGAAAACGTACTTTATTTCCAAGAGATAGACAAACGTTTTTCAGGACACGAAAGCGATATCCTATGTCTGAAAACGTCATTTTCAAGGCAAAGAAAGAGTCCGCTTGCTGCTGTGTGTTGTAGCTAGTTCATTCGCACTGAATCTCCGCGCACTCTTCTCTGCTCCCCTTTCCTGCTCCTGTCCCCACTGCCCGATCCACTCTTCCCCCTGCTCCTCACTTCTCCGGGCACGGAATCTCCGCGCACCGCTCCCTCTCTCTCTCCTCTCTCCTCTCTCTCCTCTCTCCTCTCTCCCCTCTCCTCTCTCCCTCTCCTCTCTCCTGCTCCGCTCTTCTCCCTGCTCCTCACTTCTCGTCCGCGAACGAAATGTCCGCACACCCCCTCCCCCCCTCCTCACTTCTCCGTCTTGCCTAACCAACACTGTAGTTAGTTGTTTACAAGTCATGTGCAGCTCACCGGCTGTAAATCAACCTGTTTCTGGCGTAAGGAGGAGGCGGGAGGAGGCGTTTCTACGTAGGAGTTATAGGGGGGGCGGGGGGGGGGGGGGGGGGGGGGGGGGGGGGGGGGGGGGGTGGTTTTCACGCATGCGCAACATTTGAAAAAGGACAAACAGTTGCTGGATTTCTCGTTCCTTGGAAAATCCTCTATACAACCTTTAATTATTGACCAAACCCCATGAAATTAGACTCAGGGATGGACAATGGGATCCTCTTTCATATTCCAAAGGCTGATCTGGATCTGATCCAGAAGACTGATTTTATCGCAATGTATATAAAAAATGGGGGTAGTCCTTGGTGGAGGTCTGCGCTCTCTGACTGCTTTTCTAGTTGTACGTGTGAGAGACTTTAACAGCACAAAACAGCTGTAAGTCCAGCTTTATGGTCAAATTTTGGTAAACCAAAACTCAGATTCAAGTCTAATAAAGCATCAGACAGAGCAGAGCCTACAGTTAGCATCAGTTCCAATATACTGCGTAGGACAGGAGTTTGGGAAAAAAAAAAAAAAAAAAACTAAAGGAACTGTACGTAAGATTTAGGTTTTAAATTCCATAAACATGTTTTAACTGTGTCTCCAGATCCAATGTTCAGATCAAACACAGCTGTAACTAAGAACTATTCTAATCATTATTAATCACAAAAAACACTGGATATGACGAACAAGTTGTTTATGTTATAATTTGGTGTTTTGGTTCCAGAAAGCACAATGAGCCTCACATGACTCTCTCATTTGAGTTGCCAGTTTGGTTTAAACCTAAAATGTCTCTCTCTGATGTGAATGATCAGAGTGTAAAGTCCAGCTCCTGCACTGGTCAGAGTCAGAGTTCTGTTGGGATTGGAGTGCGTTTGGAAAATGACAAGCACAGACTTCCTAGAATCCTTCAGACATGCTAGCGCTATTAGCGTCATATTTTAGTTGTATATTTCAAGGATAAAACGCTTCAAGTGCCTCATATGCGCACACAGAGGAAGATAACATGTTGTTACATTACAATACTTACAGACAGATGTGTGTCTGGGCCAAATGAAAGCCCTTTAACACTCACATGTGACCACACAACTGTGCAAGTGATACAGGGAAAAACTACAGCTACGGTAGCCCTCAGGAGACAAAACGCCTCAATTCACCACAGAGTTTGTCCATTAGAATAGCCTAATGACAATGATTAAGACCGTGTATTCCAAGAGAAACAGACTCTTGTGAGCATTAAGCCATTTCTAATGTTGGAACCTCCTCAAAAACACACCTGGAGTTGTGTTTTATATTTGTATGTATTTATGTATTTATTTATTTATTTATTTATTTTTTGCCTCAGTTGAACTGATATTCCCTGAAATACTCAAGAAAAACCTTCAGTTGTTGCTATTTTTGAATATTTTTGTTTTACTTTTTGTACAGTTGAGACAATAGAAAGCAGCTGTAATAACCTGTCGGATCGGCACCAAAGAGTGAAATGCTTTCAGTGAGGTTAAAACAATAGCTGTAACTTTAAAGTAGGCAAATCTGAAATCATCCAAATGATTCTAGTGAAAGTGTATGGAGTAAACACAGTGGAGCACTTCCTGTAATAATCCTTAATGACATCACAAGGAGAAACCAAGTGTTTTCAGTTTTAGAGAGGAACACATAAGCATGCAGGATTTGTGTGTTAAATATGTGTGAATGAAACAAAACATAACTCCAGGTCTGTTTGTTTGTGATCAGAAAATGGCACAATATGGGCCCCTTAAATGTCTCTATTTTTACGCTGAGGAATGAATATTGATGACATTATTATTTGTGAAGTAGACAAAATACAATTTTATTGAAATTGGGGTGAGAAGGAATCTTCGTTTTTAGAGTCACAAGTCAAGTCCTAAACTGTGTATAAGACTAAACCCAAATGGCTAGAAGTTTATTCTTTATATTGTTCCAAATGTCTGAATGTCACATTTGTTCTGACAGTGTAAGTCACATTTGCATGTTGAACTTTAGTGCAGTGGAGTACAGTAGTGGAAGGCAACAGAGCTGCTCCTTCCTTCTGTCCCAAACAATCATTAAACTCCACATTGACTTTCAAACATCACCATCGTCATGTGCATGAACCACTGACTGATGAAAGTCTTTTTATGCATAACCCACTCATATTTGTGTATCAGTTCAAAGTCTTTCCAGGCCAATCATTAGCAACAGCCACTGTTTAATGAATAAGTGTAGTGCAGTTTGACAGAGGGCACGGCCAGTCACACTGAACTCACACTCACTATCACCACCGCATTTTAAAGCAGTTTCTAAATGGAAACTTCAATAGGGGTGTGTTCACACACCCTCTACTGGTTTGAGCCCAGTTTAATCCTGATGTAGATTTGGTTTGGTCCTGCTCCAAGTTTTTCTCTAAGTGAACTCTTATTACTGCCAGGAAAGTCTGGCATCTGTTTAGCTTTTATTTAATTACAGCTGTTTTTGTTGTTCTAAAATACCTCTAAAGACGTTCAGTTCGATGTCTGGGCTCGGCTCAGCACGGATCTGAGCTGTTACTTGTCCTTGACCTCCTTGTCTCCATGGCAATACACCCCCATTTATATTAAGTCAACAACAATATGGTTTTAGATCTAGGTTCACACTAATGGCGGTGATGGAACTAACTAACTAACTAACTAACTAACTAACCCCAAAGTTCAAAATGCTTTGTTGAGATGTCATGAAGCAGTGGTTTTCAAGTGAACAGCTCCTTTTACCTTTTGTTCAGATGAGATTGGCAATTCCAGGTCTGAAATGATGCAAATGAGTATTTTCTGACTGAGAGAAGAACTCAGCCTAAATGTGCTGGTTTGTGTGTTAAATGTGTGAATAAAACGAAACACAACTCCAGGTGTGTTTGTGATGAGGAAATGACATTCAAGCATAGATCAGAAAACAGTGTAATAAGGGATCTTTAAGCTTCCCGTTGAATATTATCTTATAAATGTCGTGTTGTCCTCTCAAACTCAGCTATTTAAAAAGTCTTAGAACATTTGCTCAGAACCAGCTATTAAAGTGTGGTTGTCTGACTCCCCCTGCAGGCCACAGCCACCAGCTCTTCCACGTATGCGCCATCCTGGGCACCCACACACAGATGCAGGCGCTGGAGCAGGACATGCTGGTGCGCAGGCCCTGGCTCCTGGAGCACGCCCTCCCCGTCTCCTTCGGCAGCTCCGTGGGCGCTGCCATCTTGAGCCTGCTGTCCACCGTGTTCATCATCTCCCTCTTCAGTTTGCCTCTGCTCCTGCCCGCCATGTCCAAGGACCGGGTGCCAACAGAGAGTGGGCATCGGAAAGAGTGCCAACACTGAAACACAGAGGAAGAGACTGAGAAGCATGTTTGGTAAAGTTGAGGTTAAAGTTGAGTTATGTTTTTTTTTTTAAATGGGTCAGAGGCTCTAAAACATTTCACACCAAATACCAGAGAAGAGAAGATTTGGCTTTCTGAGTACAGTAACAGGACTATTCCAGGTCTAATCCAGGACTAAACCAGGTCTTAAAGTGGACTGCATCATTTTAGGCCTATTACTGATATTAAAAGTATTCAATCTTGAAAGACGGGTTTGGCACATAGAACAAAATCTATCCATTTAAAACAAGTTTGTAATTAAAACAGGTTTGTAAGGGGCTCTATTACTGGTTTGAAATGAACTGCACTCACAGTGAAGCAGCCAGTGCCAAACTGGACACTGAAGACACATGGACAGGCCATGTCTCATGTGAAAGCTCAGAGCCTCCAGAATTCCTTCCTTGAGCTGCAGAGGCTGCACTAGCACTGATTCAGGATTGGTGCAGGTGATGGAGTTCAGATCAGAGAGAGGACTTTTAGGTTCATGGTTTTAGTTGTAGGTGACCTAAAGTGAGGAGCAAAACAAGATTTGATGAAATGTCAAGATGAAATCACATTAGAACTATTCTCATTTCCCCCTCTTTGACCTGAACTCTCAAAAATTCTAACTATATATGACAAGAAGTTTCAGTCAGCGGTCTGGATAAATGTGACAGGACTGACAGTGTTTTTTTTTTTTTTTACTGCAGGAGCAATCAAAGAACAATGTTACTGAAAATGGAAAATGGAGAAAATGGAACTTTAAAATGCACACATTTGGTTTCCTGAGAAATGCAGAATTATAATGTTTGCAACATGTGGTATTTCATTTAGCAGCACCTTTCCATTAAATTAATTATTAATAAATTATTATTATTATTTATTTATTTTGTATTTATTTATTTTGAAAACTTAAATTCTCTGAGGTCAACCTGGACTCAGACTGCACGACGTACAGCTCTGGTCCACTGGATGATTATTCTGTATAGTACAGAGTATAGAGAGGAGCTCAGGCACATGTGCAGTCTGGTGTAGTTCAGAGTGTGTGGAGGAGCTCAGGCACATGTACAGTCTGGTGGTGCAGGTTTAGCTGCTGCAGAGCTCTAGATTCATACAGATGGATTGTATTGTTGGACACTGGAGTGACCAACAGCACAGTAGAACTCTGGTCCTCTGTGAGTGTCACAATAAGACCAGTCCCACAGTGAGCTGCAGCTGCACTGGTGATTCTACCTGTATAAACTGTAGGAGTATTAAACTGGAGTCTCCAGTATGAGACTGTAGAGCAGGTGGGGAGAGTGGGTTTAGTTGAGACACTTTTTGCAAATGTAAAATCTAAAATAAAATCAACATATTTGGGTATGTGGTATATGGAAGTATTCTTAACACATGATATGAGGAAAACCATAAGCAAGATAAACTGAAAGATCAGACTGAATATGTATATTACACACACACACACACACACATGAAAATCAGGTGCCACAGAGGGTCACCCAAGATACTTGAACTCATCCACGCAGGGACTCTCCACCCCCGAGACCACCTCACCTATGGTCATGAGCCGCTTCTCCGCCACATTGAGAAGAGCCAGCTGAGGGGAGGGTATCTGTTCTGATGCCTCCTTGGCGTCTCCCTCGAGAGGTGTTCAGGGCATGTCCCACCAGAAGGAGGTCCTGGGGAAGACCCAGGACACGCTGGAGGGACTATGTCTCTGGACTGGTCTGGGAACACCTCAACGTACCTCCGGAGGAGCTGAAGGAAGTGTCTGTTGTGAAGTCCCTGCTGCCCCTGTGACCGGCCCTGGATAAGTGGAAGAAAATGGATGGATGTGTCCTTAGGCAAGACACTTCACCCACATTGCCTAGTATGAAAGTGGTGTGTGTGTGTGTGTGCGCGTGTGTGTGTATGTGTGTGTGTGCGTGTGTGCGCGTGCGTGTGTGTGTGTGTGCGCGTGCGTGTGTGTGTGTGTGTGCGTGTGTGTGTGTGCGCGTGTCTGTGTGTGTGTGTGCGTGTGTGTGTGTGTCCGTGTGTGTGTGTGTGTGTGTGAGTCTGAGGAGCAACCTGGTGGTGTCTGATGAACCCAAACATCATGTCCCAGATGTGTTTTATCAGGTTTAAGTCAGGTGATGGTGAGGGCCATTTGCTTGTATCAGTCCCTTCATCCTCCAGGTTTTGCCTGCAGATTCTTGTCACATGAGGTCGGGCATTGTCGTGCATCAGGAGGAACCAGGACATACTGCAACAGTGTAGGATCTGACAATGGTTCAAGGATTTCCTCCTGATACCTAATGACAGTCAGACTGCTGTTTTCTAGCCTGTAGAGGTCTGTGTGTCCCTCCATGGATCTGCCAGAACATCACTGACCCACAACCTAACTGCTCATGTGAACCATGTTACAGGCAGCAGAGAGTTCTCCTCATCTTCTCCAGACTCTTTCACATCTGTCACAGGTGCTCAGGGTGAACCTGCTCTCATCTCTGAAGAGCACAGGACACCAGTGGAGGACTTCCCAATTCTGGTGTTGTCTAGCAAAGGCCAGTGAAGCTCCACGATGCTGCACAGTGAACACAGAATCCACTACAGGACGTGGTGCCCTCAAGTCACCCTCATGAAGTGTGTTTGTGATTGTTAGGGCAGAGACATTCACACCAGTGTCCTGCTGGAGGTCATTCTGTAGAGCACAGGCGGAGCTCAGCCTGTTCCTCCTGCACAAAGGAGAAGATATGAAGGGTTGAGGAACTTCTACAGCCCTGTCCAGCTCTCTTAGAGTAACTGTCCATGTCCTGAAATCTCCTCCATGTTCTGGAGATTGTGCTGGAGACACATTAAATCTCCTTGCAATAGCACATCTGGTTGTGCCATCCTGGAGAAGTTGGGCATGTTCAGGCCATAGGAACCACTGTTTAATGTAAATGCAGCTAGAGGTAGAGGGATTCTGTCAGAGCTACTTTCTTTCTTTTTTTCTTTTCCACTTTTTTCCACAAACTGCTGGTTAACTATGATACATATTCAGCACAGGTACAGGTGTCAAACCTTGTCACATGCACCTTAGGTGTGTTGGAACTCTGCTGCTGAATGTTTGAAGAGGCAAATGCAGATGGACGCTTTACATGAAGGCATACTACACTGCCCTCTAGTGGTGACTCTGGTAGAGGCACAGCAGCTCAGGACAAAGCAACGCTGTACTGAGTACTGAACAATATGGGGGAAATATCTAATAGTGCTTTTTCTGACAAGTATTGTGATTAGATTTGAGATTTATGTTTGAATAACAGGATTCTGTTCAAAGTTCACATTTTAAACACTTCCAGAAGAATAAATTGAAAGACTGAAATCTGAACTGACAAACTACACTTTTTTTCAACTGCTTTGACACACAGCAGCTCACACAGAACTCCAAACACAGTTAATGCCATCTCAGCAAAATGCAGTTTTTTATTCAAAACAGAACAATCACGTCCCAAAAGCAAATTTGACAAAGAGTACACACTAGACCACAAACGAGCACTAGGTCTCCTTTTCTCCCTGCCATCCCAGCATGCACAAAACAGCACCCCCTACAGGTTTGTTTTACATGTGCATGTACAGTGAGACTTCTGAAGCACGGAGCACCTCTTCTCCCAGTGTCACCCAAACACCAGTCCTGAGGGTGCCTCCATAATAACTCTATAAAACAAGTGTGCACATCCAATAACCGGCGTATGTCGCATAAATAAATGTTTTAATCACTGATCACAGAGTGGGAAATCCTAAACAACATCAGAAGATAAACTTGTAGAGTAAAACTGAAGTGAGCTCTGTCGGTGCACAGGAGCTCTCGAGTGTGTCCTCAGCTTGTGTAGAAATGACAGCTCAGTGAGCACGCACACAAGCCAGGAGATATGTTAATCCAGAATTAACTTAGTTGATTCAACAATGTCTTTCTGATTTGGCGTAATCATTTTGGATGGTGGGAAATGTCATTTGAGAAATCTGTAATGTAATTTTGACTAGGCAAAACAGAATTACAGATATCTGCAATACATATCTAGCTTAGCATTTTAATCAGACATGTCAAACTCAGGCCCAGGGGCCAAATTTGGCCAAAATCTATTTATATGTGGCCTGCGAGATCATATCAAATATGTATTAGAGCTGCCCACCAGCTACAGATTGGCTATAGAGACATGATTTATTTAAAATGTTATTATTTTATATTTTGCTGGATGCTCCTGTTTTACTGGAAATAAACAACAGGTAGAGGAGAATAACTAGAAGAACAACAATGAGACAAGCTCTAATAAAGCACTGGTTTGCATGGGTTTGGCATTTTTCCACTAATGCTGCTTTGACTACACTACTGGGAGAATAAGGCCATTCTTTAACCCTATAGAAACTGCAACTTCTGCAAATTGTCCAATTTCTCCAGGATATCACATCTGAACGTGCTGTTACAAGGAGATTAATGTGTCTCCAGCACAATCTCCAGAATATTGGAGAGATTTCAGGAGACAGACAGTTAGTCTAGGAGAGCTGGACAAGGCTGTGGAAGTTCCTCAACCCATCAGCAGGACACATATCTGCTCCTTTGTGCCTGTGTTCTACAGAATGACCTCCAGCAGGACACTGGTGTGAATGTCTCTGCCCAAACAATCACAAACACACTTCATGAGGGTGACTTGAGGGCACCACGTCCTGTAGTGGATTCTGTGTTCACTGTGCAGTTCCTTCGTCGGCCGCGAAGGCTGCAGCCCTTGAACTGGCCTCCGCGGACGCCAGGCCGTTGCGGAAATGGGACAGTCTAGACCTCGGAGCCGCTCCCCCGTCGCCCAGCAACCGAGGGACGCTGCTAGCGCTAATGCTAATGCTAACACGCTCCGCGCAGATTCCGCACACGGATCAGTAAAAAGACGCACAGGTCATCAAACTGTCGGATTTTGTGACCAAATTATTTTAATAATTCGCATCCAAATCTTATGGCCAAAAACGAAAATGTATGTTTAACTTTTGCAAAACAAAACGGCTATATTTAAGGGATACATCTTAAATAGACTAAATTATCTTAAAGTTTACAAAAACTATGATGAGATATGCATTACTAAATATTATCATTATTAAGGATTTGTAAAGAAAGAAAGACGTCTCTCCTGAGAAAAGCTGGTTTATTAAACAATCCAAGGAACTTCTGGAAATACTTTATCATAATATTAAGTCAAATATTAAACCCATTACACACACACACACACACACACACTCTGCATTAACAGGTTAGTACAAACAGCTGTATGTCAGTAAATCTCATTGTGTTCCCTTTTTACTGAAGCAAGTGACAATCAAAAATGAACAAATTATCTTTGCCAAATATGATCATGTAGAACATCACTGCTTTAACTGCAGTACAATAGTACATTCTTATAGTACATGTAATTAGTTACTATCAAAAGAGACACCAAATAAACGGCACATTTCACCATAAATCAAATGTCAGTACAGACTGAAAAACATTCAGAAAAACTTATGAGCAGATGTTTTCATTTCTGTCTCACACACTTGTTCAGATCATATAAGACTCTGGACCTCCTCCTCAGAGACTCTGGACATGGACAATGGAGACATGGACAGTGGACTTGGACCACTCAGTGTGATGTGTCTCTCGTCTTCTGGAGGAGGAAGAGCAGGATGGGTGTTAGGTCTGATTGATTCAAAGTTGTGTCCTGCAGAGTGAAAACCTGTAATGACACACACATTAAGAAAACTACAAAACTATTAGAGGAAAATAAGTTTGACAGAGCATGCAGCCCCAAAGAACACCTGGACTCCACCCGCACTATTTACATTTATTATTATTTATTTATACACAAGGGAGTGAGAAACACAATTTCAATGCTTTATATGTTTTTCGTATGAAGAATTGACAATAAACAATTTTAACGTTGAACTTAAACTTTGATGTACATTCAGATTCAAAGACAGTTTATATCTGAAACAGCTAAATGAACAGAGGAATCCCACACATGTGAGAAATGTGTATTTTCACAATTTAAAATCATAATTTCAACATGAGCATGATTCATTTGCAGCTCTTATTATTATTGGAGTTTTCAATCTAACATGTCCCATACCTAATCGTTGGCAGGAGTCTGGGTCAGCACCTCCAGCTCAGTGTGGACTTTACTTTGTCATGTGCATTTGACCCATTTTATGAATCACAAGCATCTTGTCAGCCAACAGTTCTGTGGCCCCTGCAGTGTGCTGTGTCCTCGTACAGGAGGCTGCAGATGAGAAAAGAAAATTCATGTAAAACAGATTTCTCATTGTTATAACATTAGATGTGACAGACCAAACAGACAGTCAGGTCGTATCTACACCAGGTCGTATCTACACCAGTGTCTGCACAAATCTGTTCAATGAGCCTCATGTCCATCATAAATCTGACCTGTCCAGGCAGGATTATTTACTTCTTCACTTTACAAACATGCACGGATTGTTAAAAGCAGATCATGTATTCCCAGAATGAAATGCACACGTTGGAGGTTTATATTATGTGATTTACTAGTAAATATGAGCTTTGATAGTCAAACTGAGTCTTTTCAGTTGAATGTATGAAATAATGTGTGTTTTTTTCTTACCTCCGAGCTACACTGACCAACTGTTTACATGTTTACACTGTCCGTGAAAACGTGGAGTTTTCTCCTCGCAGCTTCTTTAAATCACTCCGTGGGCTTCTTTTCCCCTAACAGTAAAAACATCATTAGTGTTTGATGGAAATCTGTCCAAATATGAAAGTTTGAGCGGATTTTTCATCGCATTAGCTGCACATTACTAGGCAAACTTTAGCTCTAAACTCCGCGCTTCACGCAGTTAAAAACAAACTTATTTGACAGTTTTGTGGGAGTTATGGTCATATTTTACATTTACAGTTGTGTTAGTAATGATTTGATGAAGTTAAAAGTGTTACTCACATGTTTTTCTACTCACAGGCTTTTTGCTCCGTGTTTTCGCTCCGTGTTTTTGAACATCTGACTGCCGCCGCGCGGTGCATGCTGGGATACTGAAGACTGCGAAGGATACTTGGATGTGTCCTCCGTTCGCGGCCCCATCTCCATGGAAACGAAGCCGGTTTTAGGGCTGCACTTGAAGGCTGCATGACATAAAAATGAAATGGGACAGGCCTTGTTTGACCGGAAGTGACGTATGCAGCCTTAAAACCAGCCTTCGGAGGCTGCAGCCCTCGATTTGGGACACAGCCTTTGCTAGACAACACCAGAATTGGGAAGTCCTCCACTGGTGTCCTGTGCTCTTCAGAGATGAGAGCAGGTTCACCCTGAGCACCTGTGACAGATGTGAAAGAGTCTGGAGAAGATGAGGAGAACTCTCTGCTGCCTGTAACATGGTTCACATGAGCAGTTAGGTTGTGGGTCAGTGATGTTCTGGCAGATCCAGGGAGGGACACACAGACCTCTACAGGCTAGAAAACAGCAGTCTGACTGTCATATCAGGAGGAAATCTTTGAAACATTGTCAGATCCTACACTGTTGCAGTATGTCCTGGTTCCTCCTGATGCACGACAATGCCCGACCTCATGTGACAAGAGTCTGCAGGCAAAACCTGGAGGATGAAGGGACTGAGACAAGCAAATGGCCCTCGCCATCACCTGACTTAAACCTGATGGAACAATTTATATTGTTGAAAGATTTCTCTCAATGAGGAGAGCAGAGGGAGAGAGAGAGGAGAGAGAGGAGAGGAGAGGAGAGGAGAGGAGGAGAGGAGAGGAGAGGAGAGGAGAGGAGAGGGAGAGGAGAGAGAGGAGAGGAGAGGAGAGAGGGAGAGGAGAGGAGGAGAGGAGAGGGAGAGGAGAGGGAGAGGAGAGGGAGGAGAGGAGAGGAGAGGAGAGGAGAGGGAGAGGGGAGAGGGAGAGGAGAGGGAGAGGAGAGAGGAGAGGGAGAGGGAGGAGAGAGGGAGAGGGAGAGGAGGAGGAGAGGAGAGGAGAGGAGAGGAGGAGGAGGGAGAGGAGGGAGAGGAGAGGAGAGGAGAGAGGAGAGGAGAGGGAGAGGGAGAGGGAGAGAGGAGAGAGGGAGAGGAGAGAGAGGGAGAGGAGAGGGAGAGGAGAGAGGAGAGAGAGGAGGGAGAGAGAGGAGAGGGAGAGGAGAGGGAGGAGAGAGGAGGGAGAGGAGAGGGAGAGGAGAGGGAGAGGGAGGGAGAGGAGAGAGGAGAGGAGAGGAGAGGAGAGGGAGGGAGGGAGAGGGAGAGGAGAGAGGAGAGGGAGAGGAGAGGGAGAGGGAGAGGGAGGAGGGAGAAGGAGAGGGAGAGGAGGGAGAGGGAGAGGAGAGGGAGAGGAGAGGGAGAGGAGAGGGAGGAGAGAGGGAGAGGGAGAGGGAGGGAGGGAGAGGGAGAGAGGGAGAGGAGAGAGGGAGAGAGAGGAGAGGAGAGGAGAGAGAGGAGGAGGGAGAGGAGAGGAGAGGGAGAGGAGAGGGAGAGAGGAGAGGAGAGGAGAGGGGGAGAGGAGAAGGAGAGGAGAGGGAGAGGAGAGGAGGGAGAGGAGAGGAGAGGAGAGGGAGAGAGGAGAGAGGGAGAGGAGAGGGAGAGGGAGGAGAGGGAGGAGGGAGAGGAGAGGAGAGGAGAGGGAGAGGAGAGAGGAGAGGAGAGGAGGAGAGAGGGAGAGGAGAGGGAGGGAGAGCAGGGAGAGGGGAGGAGAGGAGAGGGAGAGGAGAGGGGAGAGAGAGAGGAGAGGAGAGGGAGGGAGAGGAGAGGGGAGAGGAGAGGAGAGGAGAGGAGAGGAGGGAGAGAGGGGAGAGGAGAGGAGAGGAGAGGAGGGAGAGAGAGGGGAGAGAGAGGAGAGGAGGAGAGGAGAGGGAGAGGAGAGGAGAGAGAGAGAGGGAGGGGAGAGGAGGAGGGAGAGGAGAGGAGGAGAGGGAGAGGAGGAGGAGAGGAGGGAGAGGAGGGGAGAGGAGAGGAGGGGAGGGAGAGGAGAGAGGAGAGGAGAGGAGAGGAGGAGGAGGGAGAGGAGAGAGAGGAGGGAGAGGAGAGGGAGAGGAGAGGGGGAGGGAGAGGAGAGGGAGAGGAGAGGAGAGGAGAGGAGAGGAGAGGGGAGGAGAGGGAGGAGAGGAGAGGGAGAGGGAGAGGAGAGGAGAGGAGAGAGAGGAAGAGAGGAGAGAGAGGAGAGGAGAGGGAGAGGGCCATGTGAGGGCCAAACAAGATTCTGAGAAGTATTTTGAGTTGCAGAAATTATAATTTGTCAACATGGACAAGTCTTCCACATCATTATATCACTTTGATTTTCAGAGTGTCTATAAATGAAGCCCTCTGTAGAGTGAAAATGTTATTTTCACCTTTTGTTCCTAAGACATTGCTCTGTGTATATATATATATATATATATATATATATATATATATATATATATATATATATATATATATATATATATATATATATATATATATATATATATATATATATATTTGTATAGATATCCAGCATTTTTTGTGTGTTTTCAAAATAATTTTTTTGAGCAGTGTTCGCTGCTGTGTTCAAAAGGGAAGTGAACATGGACGGACTTCTGGGTCCAATTCACACTGGGTAGAAAGTATTTCAAATAGATATTACACAATATAAAAATTAAGAGCTGTTGCCTGAATAAAAATATACATATTATTCAAATAATAAAATATGCACTGAAAAAAAAAGGTTGCTGGATTTGCGTAAAAATGTTCTGGAAAGCGGTTGCACGCAATAAAATTATGTTTAGGCTTTGAAACTTATTTCGATCTCCTCTACACATATTTTTCTCAGAACATGAACGTCACTTTTTCATGTTGATGAAATTTGATCAAATCATGCTGAATATGCATATTTATCTTATGTTACCTTATTGTGAAATGTATAAGTCTGTATAATTTAATTTAATTGATCTAATTCTGTAAAATAATACAAAAACAGTCTTTAGTTTTCCACAGTTCTGTCTTGTCTTAAACAGAATCAAACACACAGAGACACACAAGTACAGAGACACACAGTTTGGAGCTGGACAGTGTGAAGATTTATTCCAGTGAAGAAGCTCTGGTCTCTGTGGACACAGAATAACACATGATGATCACATTCTGATCATCTACTCTGTTGTACATGTTTAAATACATTTAAAGTGCCTATAATGGACCAGAACAGAGTCACAAGAACATTAGAACTGTATCTGCAGAAACAAAACTCACCATGTGCTGCTTTTCTTCCTCTAAACGCAGTAACAGGGAGGGCATCTGGTATAAAGTCTCCTAGTGCCACATCACCCTGTAGAAACACGAAAACTGTTTCAATAGGAAGTTCATTTTGAAAAAATTGTTTAAAATCATTTTAGTTGAGTTACTTACATTGTTCATCTGTGCTCTGTGGTTTGTTGGTTCTCAAACATCTTCCTTTTTTTTGAAACATTAGATAGAACATTCATGAACTTCCCCACAGCTCCAGCAGAGCTCTGGACGTCACTCTTTGTTTGTAGACGACTCTGGAACAAACACATTCAAATCTGAGTTCAACTGTCACACTCTTGTAGATAAACAGTCAAAGACAATTTGTTTCATGGAAACAGTCCTTACATTAACTCTAATTTCAAATAAAACACCACAAACATGTTTTAACAATGAAAACATTCTTGGCCAGAGAAGCACATAAAATCTTTGAAAAGTCTCACCTCCAGATCAGCTTCATAATCCTCCTGCTCCACACTGTGTGTCCTCTGCTCCTGGAACTGTCCTGTGTCCTGTTACATTTGAATTTTCCCTCCAAAGGTTTTGAGGAGGAGAATTCCAGAGGGAGGAGCCTCACCACAGATTATTATAAAGTCAAATTTCCTCAACCTGATTAAAACATGCAGGTCTAACAATCAAGTGACCTTTGTAAGATTTAAACATGCTGGACAGAGAAACGTAAAAAAGTCATGTTATTGTTATTGTCAAATTAGTGTCAAATTAACCCCTCTCAGACCAGTTTTTCAGTGTGATGTCTGAAAACTACTCTGAAAAGTACAATTTCTTCAAAAGGTGATTCAACTAAATGTAAAAATCAAATGGACCTGCAGCCTCGCTTCTGTCAGTCTGCCCCAGGGCAGTTGTGGCTACAGTTTACAGCTACTAGTTTACACCACTGAGTGTGGAGTGAATGAAGAATGAACTGTAAAGCTCTTTGGGCATCTTGAAAGGCGCTGTATAAATGCAATGATTGATTAATTTAAAAAATAATAATAATTAAAAGTGTTTGACAACACTGCATTTCCCATCATGCATCTGGGCTTTGTAGTCCATCAGGCTGGGTGAAGGCAGCTGCAGTTGCCTTTCTGCTTCATCCACATTGCAAGGTGCACGCAGACATCTTCATCTTACTAATTCCCAGTATGTACATATTGGGGTGTAGCGCGCTGCACCCGCTGCACCCGCTGCACCCGCTGCACCCGCTGCACCCGCTGCACCCGCTGCACCCGCTGCACCCTCTGCAGGAAGTCCCTCCCCCAGGTCAGTATCATTTCCTTTACAGGTGACTTTCAAAAGTCTAAAGCTGAAGTCCTTGTGTTTAACAAGGTGTCTAAGTGTCTTTAAACAGTGTGCTGAAAAGAAACTCTCAAAAAACAAATGATGCACAAAACAATGAAACAAAACAGAACTTCAACCAGTTCTCCTCCACACGGCCCAGCCCCCCCCCCTCCAAGGTTTTAAAAATGGCGGGCATGGACACGCCCCCTCTCTCCTCTGGACCATGTGGAGCTGCAGGTGAGTCTAGTCAATATGGAAGTGACTGATCAATAAAGTCTAAATGATTAAACAAAACTAAGAATTCTATATGTACCTGTTGACAGATGAACAAATGAACTGAAATCAAAGTTTGTTTAATGGGACAAAGGCCCAGTTTGTCACTCATCTTTGTCAATCATTTAAAAAACTGAAATATTTATTTTTATGATTGTATTTTCTATCTCAGGGATATACAGTTATTATTTACACAGATGATCTTTTTCATGAGTCTACAGTGTGATGAGATAATCAAGTTCTGATCTTTAAAAAAATAAAATAAAAATTAAAAAAAAATGCAGTGTGACACGTGCCGCTCTGTCCTACATGTGTTGGGAAGGTTACTTTTAAATGTAATCCCCTACATATTACAGATTACATACCCCAAAATGTAGTTTGTAACGGAATCCATTATGTAATCTGAATACTTTGGATTACTTGATATTGACATGCTTTTTAGTTTAGTTTTGATTTTAGTCCTGGCTTAGTTCTAGTTAGTTTTTTAGTTCTAGTTTAGACCTGGTTTAGTCCTGGTTTATCCCAAAATGTGAAAACTGAAAATTACTGCCCTGTAATCCATTTATTTCAACAAAGTAACTGTAATCCAATTACCACTCACTGAAACAGTAACTGTAACTGAATACAGTTACTCATAATCTGTACTCTGATTACGTAACTTTGGTACATGTGATCTGTTACTACCCAACACTGCATACACGTAATGCACTTCGAGTCATTATAAGTTTAAAGAAAAATGATCATCTTTAATCACACTATTACAACAAGTATTAAATAATAAAAAAAGTATTTTAAAAAATAAAATTGAATTTAAACTAAACACATTTTTATTTAAATTGTGCATGATTTTAGTGGGTAAACTCCATTCGTCACTCAAACATTTTAAATAAAAGTGTAAATATAAAAAGAGTCGGTCTTTTAAACGGCTCTTTGAAATGAACAGATCCAAACGGAGAACAGGAGGCGCAAGTTCTTCAGACGAGCTGCTGTTCCGCGCAGGTCAGGTGGTCCGCGCGCACACGCACACGCACACGCACGGGTCTGGAGGTGGTGGAAACGAGCAGGACGCGCTTCTCTTGGAGACAAGGAACTACGAGTGACCCGCGCAAACTACAGCAAGGTAATAAAACTGATTCACTGCGTTTGGACTTTTTCTGTTTTCTGTAACTGTTTATAAACTTCCACAATTTTGAAGATAAATTAGTTGGGTTCTTTTTAAAGCCTGTACAGGAGAATGTGTGTTTACACATTTTGGGATGACTTGCCTCCAGCAGCTGGAACATAAATACTCTCCTGCTGCAATGTGTGAGGGTTAACCTCACGCTCTCCGCGGGGTCACATTGACCCGAAGAAACTTTTTTTTCCTTTTTCCCGTTCTCATAGAGCGGCTCAATCAGACCCAAAAATGTATTTTCAAATAAATTCTCGCCAGGCCAGAAAATAAATGTTTGGGTCTGACTCACCCGCCCCAAGAGCGCGGGAAGGGAAAAAAAAGTTTCTTCGGGTCAATGTGAGCCCGAGGAGAACGTGAGGGTTAAAACCCCACAAGTCCAAAAGACAAAATGAAAGTTGTATTATTGTATTATTCATTAGTGGTGGTCTGTGGAGCCTGCAGCGCGGTGCTCTGATGCTCACACTGATGCTGGGCTGTGGTTTAACGCAGAGTCTGCAGACTTTCTGCTGCTTTAGGCCAACAACATGAAAAAAACAGAGCTGCTTTTGTGAGTGGCCCAAGAAATGTGACTATAGGTGTATGTAAAGATGAGTACAGTTAAATCACTATCCACTTATTATCAGGCCAGTGTTGGGAATGAATACATGTACTGAAAATTCAGTGATGACATCACACTGAGAGAATTCCCATCCACTAACCACAAGATGAATCTGTCCTGAGTCACTATCAACAAGTGTTTTATTAAAGGTTTCTGTGTAAGTTAGAGGTGTAGTCTACCACCGTGTTGCTTAATATCATGCGATCCAACCAAGAAGGCAAAGTTGAATTTTTTGTATGTGTTTTAGTAAAATGAGCAGCTGAAGCAGTCATACATCCTTTACACTCAATTACATTAGAAAAACAGAAGACTCGGCTCTAGCGTCTGTGTGGGATTTTTCCTCCCTTTTACAACAAAAATTAAGCTGTAAATGTGAGGTTGTTTCCACTGTGCTGTAAATTTTATTGTAGTACTCATTAATCTTTAACTGATAACAGTATTATAATATTATTCCCAACATGTCTTGAATCTTCTTATTTATTAAACCCTCTACAAAACAAACCTGACACTGGTTGAACCACAACACGCAGAGATAAACACAGACCTCCAAAAAGTATTCTTCCATCTTTACTATGTTTAACATAGTGAAAGATAAGGATATACTGTAGTGTTTATAACAGATCTAACTTACACAAGAGTCAAAAGTCTACACCTAAACCTCACCCGTATCCTTCCACTCTGTTTTACTCTAGTGCACTATTTTCTCATCTGTCATTTCCTCATCACACACACCTGCAGTTGTGTTTTGCTTCATTCACATGTTTAACACACAAACCTGCACATTTAGACTGAGTTTTTCTCTCAAACAGAAAACACTCTATTCCACCTTGTGATGTCATCATGTGGTAGTACAGGAAGCGCTCTGTGTTTTTAAACTCCACACACCTTCACTGAATCATTTCAATAGTTCTACTTAACTAAAGGTAAAATAGGAGCTGTTCACTTGAAAACTACAGCCTCATGACATTAGAGCTTTGAAGGTGTAGACAAGGCCCTGGCCACATTGCACACGTATTTTCACCCTACATGAGTGTAAAAACTGCCCGTTTTAGATGCGTATTTAAGAGGACGGCTGCATTGCCCACACAAGGCGTGCTTATAGAGCAGAACGTCCAGCGCAGATTTCAGAAAATAAACCCAAACCTATAACTGACACGCTACAGGACACTTATCCCCATCAAAATACATCAAAGCTTGCATCTGTTCTTCTCTACTGTTTGAAGGAGCTCAGGTTCAGAATTAGTGTATTTAAATTGACTTTGGTCTCTTCCCTTTGCCACACTGAGTCTGTACACATGGTAAAGCTCATTCAGCTGCTGTCGCTGTAGACCTGACACACGTGTGCAGACGTCCTGCTGCGCGGCCCTGGCTCTGTGTTTGTCAATGGGAAAAACACTCAAAAACACTTTGCGAGGCGTTGCCGTGTATGCTCCAGTTGGATTTTCTTTTACTGATGCACACTTTAGCTCATCCACTCACAAAGCCTGAAATGTCCATTTCCCAGGCAGTCCACCACCAGAGACTCATCTGAGGTACGAGTGTCCACCTCTGCTCTTGCTGAACGCTCACATTCTCGTCTGCTGACTGTCCACTGCATTTAGTCAGGTGGATGTCTCGTAGATGATGGAATATGTTTATTGTCATGTAAATGTTTCTGATGTTTTCGCTTTGTGCACAGACATGATTAAACCATTAACACACAGGGAGGGTGACCTGCATTGCATTTGCCCCACACAAGTGACTTATATGCACCATGAGCACAGAGCAGGATGTGCAGGTCTGTACAGAGCAGTGCTCATGTTTGAGCCTCTGTACAAAGTAGAGCCCGACCGATATATCGGTCGGGCCCATATCAGCTCGCTGATATTTCACGTGGGCATGTTATACCTCGTTATAAAGCTTAGACTCTCTACATTATGTTCATTTAATCCAATTTACAGACAGATAAATGTCCTCATATGTGGCTCCGCATCAGTATTTATCTGCGGTGTAATTTGTCTGTGTGTGTGTCCGTACTGTCCCTGAACACACCACCAGAGTGACGTCACTTCACTCACGTGTTCTTGTTTACACCCGCAGCCGTGCACAACACTGAGATTATTTTCTTTTTACGACAATCGGTTTGAGTCTGGATTAAAAGGACTTTTATTAGTGCAGACATGTGATGTGAGGAGGAGCCTGTGTGAGCGGTGAGTGTTGGAAGTATGTCGACTTTGAAGCTAGTTTAGGTTTTGTTAGCGATTAGCTGCTGTAGCTCCCACACATAAACAGGCTGTTTTCTATTGGTCTATTGTAAAGTGACTGTATTGGCCGTATATTTGTTACTGGACCAGCATTGATATGTAAATGAGCTGTGAATAGACGTGTGAATGATCCACATTTATGCATATATTTAATTACCGCTGTGCGCACGGCTAAAGGCTAATAGCGGTAGTTTCTTATCTAGCTAGGAGTTATGGGTCGGTCGTGATCGAAGCGGCTCTTGGAGCCGGCTCTTTGAAGCGGCTCTTAGATCCGGCTCTTTGAAGCGAACAACGGGAGCATGTTTCTTATTGGGAGCCGTGTTTTCTCTTTTTCTCACTTTTTCTCTTCAAGCCACTTGTAGAGCCGTAGTTTGACAGCAGCAGCGGCTGAAAACGAAACTTTCAGAAATCTGCGTGTGCACAGGATAAAAAAAAAAGTACATATTTGGCTGCAGTTCAGCATAAAATGAATAAACCAGGACTAATCTTGGGCTCGAGTGAGGGAGAGACCGAGTCCTGACATTCAGTCCTGGTTCAGTTTAAATCTGTTTTAGTCCTGGTTTAGTCCTTTTTCAGTCCTGGTTCAGTTCTGGTTTAGTCCTGCTTGCAACAAAACAATCTCAAGAGTCGCTTGGGAGCCGAAAGAGCCAGCTGCTTTAGTGAGCCGAGCCAAAAGAGCCAGTTTTCCAAAAAAAAAAACTGGAATACCCATCACTAGTAGCTAGAATGTGATGCAAAAATGCCATTAGGTCAATCTACTGTCTGTACATATGATGTAAAGAGACAGAACAACAATAAATGCCTAAATAAACCCAATTTAGAATCCACTAGAGCCAAACCTAAGTTTTTTAAACAATTCAGTATTTACAGTGAATTTTGACATCACTAAATATATCGGTGATTATATCGGCTATCGGCAGCTCCAACTCCCATTATATCCGTTTCATATCGGCCACAACAAAATCCATATCGGTCGGGCTCTAGTACAAAGCTCTACTGACCACTGCAGCACATCCCATATGTGTGTCTGCTCTGCTGTCACAGCCCCGATTTGTCTGTGAATGCACACGCTGATCTGAGTCTGTGAGGAAATCAACATCACAACATTATTACCACAGACGGTTCTGAAAACGGATGTTAGGACAGTACTGTAATCAGCCTCATGTGAATGAGCAGCCTTTGTACAGATCCACATCAAACCAAACTACAGAGCAGAGCTGAGGCGATACAGGGAGCTGTGCTCTGCTGCGGTAGGGCATCCGGATGATTCCCACACAGCACACGAACATGTTATGAATTTTAAGCATTTATCATCCTAATATATTTCCAAACAAAAGAAGCCTTGAGCACGTTACATTTTGTTTTTCAGTGGACTCGTTTGATTTTTTTTTTTTTCACTGAATGCACCACACAGTCTGCTCCACTCCACCTGATATTTAGGCACGACACACCGACTGTTTAGAACTCCACCTCCCGCACTTACGCTAGTGCTAAGACTGGGGCCAAGATTGGGCCCTGTGTCTTTTGGACACTAAATTATGACCTGAATGTAGCAAACATATGTTACTTTATGCCACCCCCTTCCTGGTCTGTCTCCGCTCAAAGTCTACACCACCTCTCTGGCCCTGTCTGGCCACGCCTTTACAAGGATCACACCCCTGATAAACCGAGTAGTGAAGCTGTTAAGAACAAAATTAGTTCACTTTTATGTAGGGGTGGGCGATATATCGATATTTTAAATATATCGAGATAGTTTTTAAACTCTATGAATTCTGACATATCGTATATATCGATATAATGCTTATATTCAATTTAGATTTCGCCGCTTCTCTCTCGTCGCCGCCGCGCGCCCTTCGCCTCCCTGATTTTGTTCGCTCGTGTCTCCTTCACTCCTCACTACCGCCCTGAACGCCGAAAGTTGGTGCCAGTGAAAAGCTTCAAGCACCACGAACCTTTTCCACCATTTACAGACAAAACCACCAGCAGCACATCCTCATATTCCACTGAGTCACGTCCTTTAGCCCGAAAGAAGCTGAACGAGCTGAGCTGCGTGAAAAGTGCACTGTTTATGCAAATGAGCCATGTGCTTAAGTTTCGTTTCTGTA